ATACTGCCTCGGAAATCCAAGGAGGGGTCACAATGAGTCGGGTCTGACTCGATGGCACATGACAACAACAACAATGATCAAAAGTTCTAAGCCTAAGTATATATTCAACAGATATGTGTGCCAAGAGACATGAACAAGAATTTTCATTGAAGCCTTATTTAATAATAACTTTAATAAGAAACTGGAAAAACCCTAAATGCTTATCAATAATGGAATGAATAAATAAATAGTGTCATATTCATGCAAGGCAATAGTATACAGCAAAGAAAATGAACAAACTACAGCTACATGCAATAGCATGGATGACTCTTATGAACAGAATATTAAGCAAAAGAAATGAAATATAGATTCAAAAATACACTGTTTTTTCCATTTACCTAATATTAAATTATCAGACAAAACTAAACTATAGCATTAGGAATGTATCTTTAAGTAGTGAAGCTATAAAGAAAAGGATGAAAGTCATCACCATGTAAGTCAGGAAAAGGATGGATGACAAGAAGGGAGCCCAGGGATATTCTAGGGTTGTGGTGATATTTTATTTCTTTACCTGAGTGGGGGTTATTTGCTCTGTATTAATTTACTGACATTTACATTTTCTGTTTTGTGCTTTTTTTTTATATATGTATGTTTCATTTCACATTAAAAGACTGCATAAATAAAGTACAAATTTGATCATGTTAATGGCTCCCCTTGCCTTCAAGTTAGAGTTCAGTCTCCTTGGCTTCAAGGCCCTTTATGGTTTCTTACACTTAACCCACTACCCTTGACTCTCTACCACTCACACTTACATCCTCTACTGTAGTCACAATGAATAACTGCAGATTCCAGAGCATACCATCTCACTTTCATCTCTTGCCTTTGCAAATACTGCTGTTTACCTAAAACCCTCTCCCTATCCTCATTCATTGGACCAACTCTTAGCCATTTTCAGGAGTTACTTCCTCCTCAGAGCCTTTCTGTTCTTCCTTAGGTTACATATCAGCCTGTGATTCCCCCATGACATTTGCCATGTAATGTCAGACATTTCTGTTCACTTGTCTATATCCCCAAGCCAGCGTGTTCCTCCAGAGTAGGAAACATTTCTTATTTACTTTTTTGTCTATAGAAATTTAGTCAGTGCTTGGCATGTAGTAGATAGTCTAGCAATAATTTTCAATAAATTAATAAAGCCAGAACAGTGACTATTTTTCCTCTTTTGTGTTATCCAGGTGGATAATGAACAACTGGATTTAGAGGACAAGAACATTGGAAGCATTGATAACACCAAATTAAGCCGTTTCATTGAGATCAACAACCTCCACTTGGTGACAGAGTACAACCCTGCGGTAAATAATAGTCTCTGGTTTTAGCCTCTTTAAATCCCTATATTAGGGAGGGTACTTGTCTTCATAGAAGAGACAGTTTTGATTCTTTGGCCAATAGTGAGAATAACTGCTATTATTTGAACACCTCATTTGAACACATTGTTCATGTTACCATCATTACATTAGCCTTTTAAGATTGCTAGACTTCTCTCTATTCAACAAAGAAGGGAACTAAAACTCAGAAAAGTTAAATGACCTGTCACATGACCATTAAGAAAGAGAACCAGAATGCAAAGTTAAGGTGGCTGTTGCAAAAACTTTGAATATTTTCTGCCTGAGAGTGCTCCTCTGTGAAGAACACTTTTACTTAAGCAAAACCAGGCTTCTCAAACTAGATTTCAATCTGTGCTAACAGTCCATTTTTTTCTAAACCATTGGTGGCAGATACTTTCGTAAAATGCAGTAAAAATAAATTACTACACACATTTAAAAACTCAAGCCCACTGATCACAACAGTGCAAAATTTCTACTAGTTTCTAACTTCCTGTTTTCTCATTGTGGACCAGTGACAAGTAGATCCTAGTCTGGCTCTGCCTGCAGACTACACTTTGACTAGCACATGCCTAGTCCCTTAGGGTGCCTCAGCCTTCTTTCCAGTTTTGCTTTCCTCTGGTTTTGCATGCTGCTGTGTGAGGAGTCTATGGGTGGTAAAAACAGTTAACACACTCAGCTGCTAAATGAAAGGTAGTTTCAAGTCCACCCAGAGGTACCTCGGAAGAAAGGCCTGGCAGTCTACTTCCAAAAAAAGCAGCCACTGAAAACCCTAAAGACTACAGTTCTACTCTGACCCACGTAGGGTCACCATGAGTCAGAACTGGCTCAAGAGCAACTTGAGGGTACCTGGATTAAGGGGCTATTCATCACAACCATTTTCTGGCTTTCTAACACTCTCTACTTTATAGAATTATCTTATATGCCCTACCTTTTATTTCCCCTGAAGTAGATTACAGAGAGATAGAATATTGATTTCTAGTGATCTATGTCAGCTCAGAAATGCTGTGTTCTCCAATAACAGCACTTTTACATGCATTTCATGATATTTAGAATTTACACTCATTTTCTCATTTAACCCTCACATCAATTTTTTCAAGACAGAAGAGAGGAAATTATTATAGCCATTTTATAGAGGAGAACTTTTTGGGTCCAAATGACTTATTCAAAGTCATGTAGCGAGTAAACAGAGAAGGCATAACTCAAGGCAGAAAATTGAACTGATGATATATTTGTTCACAATGTCGGTTTCCATTTTACAAAAGAGGAAAGAAAAGTTCAAGAAAGTTAACTTCCTCAAGGCTATATGGCTATTAACAATTTGAGCTTCAAAGACAGCCCTATTCACTTGCCCTGGTTTTTTGTTTTGTTTTGTTTTGTTATGTTTTTTCCTTTGCAACTTGTGTGTCTAACTGAGTCCTGTGGTTTTTCCATTGTCCTATATGGCCTCTAATAGAACACACTACTTTTCCTGTTGACTCAAACCCTGTCTATCTCTTACAACATGTTTGTCTCTGTGGAGTGGTGACTCCACTTTCCCTTTTGCTAAGATTCCACCACATACATATCTGGGAAGTTGACAGTAATCATCAAAAAGAATACGATACTTCTCGATTAAGCAGGAGGTAGAGACAAGATGTCATCCTGTTAACATACTCTGGCCAATCCCTCTACAACGGTGACCTGGAAAAACCAAGTGAAACAGATACAAATAATGATTCTGGAATTTGGAATCAAATGAAAAGATAAAGAATTAGATTGAATGCTAATTGGAAAGGGAGAGAGAGTGAAGTCAGTAACGGAGGAGAGAAAAGAAGCCAGGATCTTCAAAGCATCACCATTTTAAGCAAAGAAGTATCAGATATGCATGAGGGGAAAATAACTTCATGGAATCCACACAGCAATAAAGACACAATGTATACAGATCAGGATGAATTCATGGACTCCACATAGCAATAAAGACACAATGTATACAGATCAGGATGAATTCAAGGTGAGCAGGAGATGTTCAGGAGCTGGGAGAGGAACATACAGGGAAATGGCTCAGACTTACAGTGTCCCAGTTGGCCATGAAGCTAGGAGGAGACCAAAAAAAGGGAATGAAATAACTCACCACTAGTAGACTCCAGTCATTTGGGCTGAGGACCTACATGAGGGGAAAAGTCACTGTAGGAACATTTGGAAGATAAACTCATGGTGGTCTCCCACTGATTGAATCTGGGCAAGAGCTAAGCAAACAGCTGCATGCACCCAGAAGGGCTCCAGCCCACACCACTGAGTCACTACTGGGGAACTACTCTTTGCTTTGACAAACACACCTTCCTGACACCCAGGGGTAAATACTCTTTCTTCCCCCACTAACCTTCTGGCTAGGGAAGCTCTGCCCTTACCCACTGCAGTGTAGTAAATTACTTTGTGTGGCTTTTCTACCCATAAGTCTTTGTAAACTCCAAGGTGGGATTTTCTATGAGCAAGTGAGGAGCTCCTGATTGCTGAAGGTGTCCACCTGGAATATTTCTGTTGGGAGAGGCACAAAACAATGTTCTGGGAGGTGCCCACTCTCTCTCAGGTGCTTAGAGTTCTGATGCTATAATTGGCTAGTTTGACCACCCTGCGGGCTCTAAAGGAGACCTCCTGGAGGCAGAACTCTCTCTGACTGCTGGTTGAGGAAGACGTGCTGCTGAAAGAGACACGGGCTCCTGAGACACGCTTGCTGGGAAAGAGATGCAAAAGACACACATTGCTGAGTGAGACACCGAGGGACCAGCACTGCTGGGAAAGAGACTGTGAGAGACTCTTGGCTGAGGGACGGTGGGCTGGGAGAGAGACTGAGCGTTCTTCCTGAACTTGAGTTGTAGCCTGGTGCTTCCCTAATAAACCCTGTAATCTGTGAGTTCTGTGTGGCCACTGCAGCAAATTATCGAACCCAGGAGAGAGGTAGTGGGTGCTTTGGGAGGAACGGTTGGTGAAAGGGCTGGAGGGAGGCAACATGTTTGGCCTTTCAGTAATAGGCCTTGGGTTACTGCTGGTAATTCTGTCTTCCTCTTGTGAGATTAGAAGAGGTCAGAACATGTGGCCTCCTTGCCGTTTTTGCACCCATCTGAACCCCTAGCCACCTCTATAGCACCCCAGCTATCCCAGAAAAGCTCACCTCTAGCAGACAGAGCCAGAGGCTGAAGCTCACCCACCTGGTACCTAAGGTACTGGCAGGTCTTTTCACACTGAATGCAAGATGCACACCTCTGCAGACTTCTCTTTCAGAGGCACCCAGTGACTTGCACCAGGCACCTCCTACCTATACAAGCACAAACTCCGGTGGATCAGGGGATTGTGCCACTGCTTCCAGGGTTGCTGGCTGACCACAACAAAAGCAGAACTCCTTTGCTATTTTTCCCTTATCTTTCTCACTTCTTACCTTTTCTTTTTCAAAATTTTCTTCCTTTTTATCTATTTGTTTTCCCCTCTTCCTCTTCTTTTCTCGTCATCAATCTTTTTTTTCTCATTCACCATTTTTATTTTTTTTCTTCGTTGTCTTTTTTCTTTTTAAATTTTTTCTTGTCCTACCAGGAGAAGAATATTCACTCTCCACTAGTCAACCATATCTATTGCACTGACCAACTCACTCAATGGGAGAAATCACCAACAGCTCCTGCACCATTGGATAAATGACCAATGGTGGTGGTCAATGACCTGTCCATCCCACCCATATTTTCTCTACATGACAAACAGAGACCTGGACCCACAAACAATTTCAATTCAAACACAGAAACGAGACAAGATAGCAGAAGTGAGTAACCAAAATAAACAACTAGAAAATATCCCCGAGTGAAAACAGTTAATAGAACTACCCAATAAGGAATTCAAAAGCTATATATATATTTATATAGTTTTATATATATATATAAAACCTTCCAGGAGCTCAAGGAAACCATAAAAAATAAGCACAGAAAAGACCTACAATACCCTTGAAGAATTCAAGACAATCATAAAAGAACTAAATGGCAAAACAAATAGACAATTCAAAATCACATAAAGACAACAATTAGAAATCCAGAAGATGAACATTAAAATTATGTCAGTAGATAACACATTGGAAGGACAAAATAGAATTGAACTGCCTGAGGAATGCATTGCCCATCTAGACAACAAATCCCTTAACATTAGCTTGTATGAAGAAAAATTACCAAAAAAAGAATGAAGAAAAATGAAAAAAACTTAAGAGTTACATGGGATGATGTCAAAAGAAATAACATATGTCTGATTAGAATTCCAGAACAAGAGAAGGACAAATAAATAAATTAATAACAGAGAAAATTGTCAAAGACTTGCTAGAAGAAATCTTCCCCAATATCATGAAAGATGAAACAATATCCACCTAACAAACTTACCACACAGGATAAACCCCAAAAGAAAGTTACCAAGACATATCATAATCAAACATTCCAAAATCAAAGACAAGGAAAGAATCCTGAGAGCAGTTCAGGAAAAATGAAATGTTACCTACAAAGGGCAACCAATAAGACTAAAAACTCTGATTTCTCAGCAGAAACCATGCAGTCAAGAAGCAATGGAATCACATATAAAATCTTGAAGGAAACGAATTGCCAACTGAGAATTATATACCTGCAAAACTGTTCTTCAGATATAATGGTGAAATTAAGACATTCCCAGAAACAGAATTTAAGGGAATTTGTAAAAAAAAAAAAAAAAAAAAAAACAGACCAACCCTATAAGAAATACTAAAGGGAATTCTTTCAACAGAGAAACAATAACAGAAGACAATAATTTAAGATTAAGGCACCCAGAAAAAGAATTCTCAAAACTAATATAAGATTACAAAATGGAAAATAGAGAACCAGAGGAGTTAATCTGTAAACAACACCAACTACAAAGTAAATAGAGGGAATACATGTTATAATTACAAAACTTCCAAATGGAGAGGAAGTCAGGACAATGTCCATAGAGTCCAT